ATCTTTGACTCACCACAGTAAATCAGAACACAGTCTATTTTTAAATATCTCATTTTCAAAAACCCTGAGAGGGACACCTGAAATTCACCTGAGTTAACACTTTTATCCTTCTGATTACTTAATATTATTTAAAAATGGTGTCCTAGGCTTTTGGTCACAATTAGGCTGACTCAACATGGACCACTGAGTATAGAGAGGAATTGAAATGGGCTTGGAGATATCTGGTTGCAGGTGGCCACAGCAGAAACCAATTTAAGGATGTGTTCTGGAAGTGTTCTGTCTTAGAATAGTAGTACTTTTAGAATTGGAAGGAACCTTAGTTAATATATAACCCAGCTCCCTCACTCTTTATATACGGAGACTTAAACAGAGAGGGATTAGTGGTGGTATAGTGGAGTGGACTCTGTGGGCACTGGAGCCCAGTGCTGCCACCTGTGTGACTCGGTTGTCTACATCTCTGTTCCTTGCTTTCCTCAACTTGTTTGTAAGTGATGATGATACTACAAAAGATTGCAATAAATGAATTACTTAATACCTACAAAGCACCTGGAACCACACCTGACCAATTGTGATCACCAGGAAGTGTTAGTGATTATTACAAATGACTTGCCCAGTGTCATATGGACAACCAGTCTCCCCAGGACAAGATAACATCCCACCCTCCAAGCTGTCTCTTCCTCTGTGTTGAATTCATGGCAGAGCACCCCTTTTCATTTGGAAGTGTGTTCCTATACAGAACTGCCTGGCTTTGGAGTAATTCTACTTCCTCTTTCCTCTGTTCCTGGTGTTCTGTTCTCTGATTCTAAAATGGTTTTCTAGATAAGACTCTTCCCTTGCTCAAATGCCAGACTATCTGTCACTTCTACCTTCATACTGGTGCCAGGCAAGTTTCTGGACTCTGTCTTGCTCTAGTAATCTATCTAGTTTTGAGGCAGAATTTCATTATTTTACTTATTATTGTTTTATAATGTTGTATTACTTGATAGAGGTAATCTTCCTAAACACTGTCTTTTTTTTAAATTTTATTGCATGTTCTTACCCTTTTTTTTGCTCTCTCTTTTTGTTTTTGCTTTTGGAATAGTAATGCATTCACACACAAGGTATAAAAAATTTACAATAAATAATCCACTCCTCCCCCACCTCCAACCATCCAATTCCCTCCCCTGGAAACAAAACAATATTACCAATTTCTTATGTATTCTTCCAGAGAGATTCTATGTACGGATAAGCAAATATTTAAATATATCATTTTTTT